TGTTCTCTAACATACTTCCCTATGAAGTTCAACGCTACACAACCTTTTTTTAAGCTTTTCTATAGTATCACTCCGTTGGTTACTAAATAGTCTAGAACAGTTTATATTGACTCCAGAGACAGCTGTTGGGGGGGGGAAATTCCTCATTTCAAGCCAAATATGGAGTTCGTGGCTTAGCTAAGGAATTGGCTACAACCCAAGAATTTGCTAGGTTTTTTTCCTCACATATGAGTTGCCCAATGCCCCCACCCCCAGCTCTAAAGTAATAAAAGGTAAAGCATACCCAAAGAGCTTTCTTTACATAATCATTTCTTTAAATGGACATTGTCAGATCAATCTAGGCCTAAAATTTAGGTTTTGTAAAACTAGGCTTTTACAAAGTATAAAACGAATAGAAAATGTATCATGATTTTTTAAAAAAATATTCCACTGAAAATAGCTGTTTGTATTTAAAGGGGCCCCTGTAGTATTCATGACTCCATGTAATTTTTTGGAGATATCCCATCTCCTAGAACTGGAAGGGACCTTGAAAGGTCATTGAGTCCAGCCCCCTGCTTTCACTAGCAGGACCAAGTACTGATTTTGCCCCAGATCCCTAAGTGGCCCCCTCAAGGATTGAACTCACAACCCTGGGTTTTTTCCCTATTTTGGCCTCTTATCCTACCTCATTTCCACTGGCATTCACTATGTTAAATGTCCAATTGCTACTAAACTTTTGAAACAAAACTTTTGAAACAAACTGTGAAAACTTTTGAAACAAAAAAATCATTTAGCACTTCTGCCATTTCCACATTTTCTGTTCTTGTTTTTCCTCCCTCATTGAGTAATAAGCCTACCCTGTCCTTGGTCTTCCTGTTGCTTCTAATGCATTTGTAGAATGTTTTCTTGTTACCCTTTATGTCTCTAGCTAGTTTAATCTCGTTTTCTGCCTTGGCCTTTCTAATTTTGTCCCTACACACTTGTGTTATTTATTTATATTCATCCTTTGTAATTTGACCTAATTTCCACTTTTTGTAGAACTCTTTTTTGAGTTTCAGATCATTGAAGATCTCCTGGTTAAGCCAGGGTGGTCTTTTGCCATACTTACGATTTTTCCTACGCAGTGACGTAATGGTGAACAGTACATTATATTTTTAGAATTTTCATTTTTAATAATTTGAGGTTCTATTAATGACACATACCAAAATTTAATTTTAAATATATGACATTTACAACCTGATAGACTGTATCCCTTTCAAAGAAAGTGCATTTGTCCTAGTGCTTGAGTTACAACTATTAATGAAGGTGGTAATATAGGACCTGTTTTTCACTAGTCAAATGTCTAGTCTATATCTGGTTGCTGTTGTTGGCATACTCATGATCATTAAAACACAAGAAGCATTGACCAAATTCTTCTCAAGTCAGTAGAAGGATATATGTTAATGAGAAAATCTATATTTGTTACAATAAATATCTCAAATTGAAATTTGTTTGATGGAACATGGGTTCTATAGATTTGCTTTATTGTGCCTGTGTTAGCTCGTGTATGAGAAAAAAGCAGCAAAGCGAAAAAGAACAAAATGTTATTACAACATGACAGAAA